GCTCTAGGAGGTGGGGGGGAAAAAAGCTACATTTTTTTTTTTTAACAGGGGTTCTTCTGGGGCCCCACAGGGGGGGGCCCCGGGTTCTTCTGAAGGAAAAAAAATGGGGCCCCGCAGGGTTCCCGACGAGGAGCTGAGAACAAGAACACGGCCTTTTTCCCCGGGGGCCCTCTCCCCGCGGGGGCCCCCCGGGGGGTCTTTCAAAGGGGTTGGGAGCCCGGGGTTGGGAGGAAGGCCCCTCCCTGGGGGCCCCGCGCCCCCCACATTTTTTGCCCCGTGTGTGTGTGTGTGTGTGTGTGTGTGTGTGTGTGTGTCCCGCCCGCCCGCGCCGCTGCTGTAGGGAGCAGGAGCTCACAGCAGAGCGAGGCGACTTAAACCGAGAAAAAGCCTGTGCACACAGACCAGTGACTACGTGACAGCTCACGGCCAGCAGAGGAAGAGTGGGAGGGCGCTGGGTGCCAGGGAGATTCCAACGGCTCCATCTCCCTGCAGTCTAGCTCTGCTGCCTGCCCCTGACTCCTTCTCAGGGGGCTGGGTGACCTTCCTTCAAGCCCCAGCAGCCCAGAGGACTTCTGTCATCGCCGGAGGCACCCTGCGACTGTGGTAAGAGGATTTGGTAGGGATGGGGGCTCTACCTAATATCAGAGGAAATAATGCAAGACGTGTTTATTGTATCTTTTAAATGTTTTGGATTACCTTTAATGAAGAAAGTTATCTGCATCCCAACAGGACAGATTTAGGATTTTACCTGTGTTTTTTCCTGCACTGTTATCTGTGGCTTTTGTGCCCATTCATTTTTTAACTTTAATGGAGTACCTTGCAGGGCCAGACCCAGGAGCAAGCAGGGAAACGGAAGCCTGTCCCTGGGAACATTGGGCACACATGCCACTGAGTGTGCCCGCCGAGCCCAGGGAAGCAGGGAGGGAGACCCTCAGAGCTGCCTGCAGCCAGGCTGTGTGGCCCAGGGTCCTGTAGGGCTGTAACTTGCATCTGAATCTTCCCTTGCCTTCAGTGTAGGCGTTTGCTGCAAAAATAACTTTGGGGATCCTTGTAGCTCCTGACAGGGCTTTTCTGGACATCTGTGCTGCTATTTCCCATGCCTTCCAGGGATTCTTGGTGGGTGTCAGCTCGCTAGATTCCTGGATGAGGTTATAGGGACTCCGCACTGTCTGCTGAGACCATCTGCTCAGTAGAGATTATAGAGTAGAAATGCAGGTATACCCTTAAAGGAAGAAATAAACTTAAGAAATCCTGTGTCAGGGTAAGAGATCAACCGAAGGACTTGTATGCATGCATATAAGCATAACCAATGGACATAAGACACTGGGGGGTAGGGGAGGCCAGGGGATTGTCAAGGGCGGGGGAAAAAATGAGACATATGTAATACTCTTTGTAATACTTTAAGCAATAAAACAATTTAAAAAAAAAGAAATCCTGTGTCCTAGCAAAGAATTAAGTAAGCATGGCATGTGTCACTGGATAAATTAAACATATGGAGTTTGGCTTGAGACTGGAAAAAGTTAAAGCAAGGGAGAAGGATGGGCAGGATTTGCCCAGGGCAGGGTTTGAAGCAGCTTCCTCCTCTGAGACCCCTCAGAGCAGCCTCCAGGCCCCGGAGAGGGCCAAGTAGGTGGGTTTGGCTCCCACCCACTCCAATTCCAGCTCCTCTGCCTCCAATTATTTTACATATGTAGCTTCTGAAAATGGTTCTATTTAAACAAGGGATTCTGAGGCTAAAAACAACAGCTTGAAAACACACATAATACCCAGAAAATTTGGCCAATCATTATAAACCTGATAAAAAATTTTGTATCCTGAATCTGAAAAATATGTGAGAGATTTATTTTCTATAGGGAGGTGTTAACTCTAAGACTTAGAGTCTAAGTAATCCACTTAATTTCGAAGGTGTGGAGGTGGTTAAAAGTCCTCATATTGGGTGGGAAATAAAATGATTTCTTCTGTTACATTTATGGATAAGAATTGATACCTTCTCTTGGAGAAATAAGGGATCATTCAATTCTAAGATTAGTTTTTATTGTTTGGAACTCAGAAACCCCTTTAAAGTGACAAAAAAACCTAATAATGGCCTTTTTATTGGGAGGGGGGTTAAATTAATTCTGTTATGCGATTATTACCTGATTAATCTTTTTGGTAAAATGAACAACCAAGCAAGTTTGTATGCAGTTTATGCTGTTCCAAGATAGAAGAGCTGGCAGAGATTTGGGCAAGAAAAACTTGTCTATTTCTTCTCACTATGTCTACTGTTTGCATCAAATATACTGGCGATTGGTGTGATTGGGTCTGGATATTGACTTGCTTTTTTAGTGGTACTCTGAAATGTTTGAGATTTAATTTTTTTCTAGCTTTATTTCAAAATGTATCATAACCTTTGGCTTGGTAAGGCATCAATACTTCAAGATAAACAAAGGAAACCACTGGGTTAAAATGAGAAAGGAATAATACTTTTAGTGGGACATTTGTTATTAAACTGCTCAGGGGGTAACTATGCCAACCAACTTACCGATTTTACTTTTGGACAAAATTAATATGACATTCAGTGATGACCATCCATGCAATGAAGACAATAGAGACATAAATTTTTTATCTTAGAACTTAGAATTTGCATAAATAATTTACCTGCAGAAAATTTGATAATGGAATCTTGTGGTTCTTGGATCAAACCTTCAGTGGGAGAATGAATGGTAAATGTCACATTTCATAACCTGTTTAATTTCCTTAATTGAATTTAGCTTAAATCCAATCAATTTCAATCCTTGGAGGGCATAACTTTAGTATTTGTGTATCCTGAAAATAAAGAACTTATTGACTATGGTCCTTTAAAAGGTTGTATACTTATTAGACTATACTGATCCTAGAAGGAAACAGTTTGTTATCCTGAAATTCATTATTTAAATAACATTACTTGTGAGGGTAATTTTCACTGGTACATTTTGTCATTAAAATTCAACTTTCTATTACCCTAGTTAATAGATAGTTGTGGTACTTCTATCTTGCAGTTTGAGTTAGTTTGAGAATTTGGCCATTATTTTATAAAGAGAAGCAGTGCATTTCATTCATGTAATAGTAGGGGAAGGAATGGTGAGAACCCCAAGAGGTAGTATAAGCCCAAAAGATTAGACTCAGGGTGTGAGTGCTATTTTATTAGGGTACGGGTGCATTTTCCTTATACTCTACTTCACTCAACTCCTTCTCTGAGGGTTAAACAAATGGCTTCTTAGGTCCCAACATCAGAGACAAATACAAAAAGGGAGCCTTTGCCTTGATAGATAGCATCTTCCCAAAGTTCCTCCAGAAGAGAGGGGATCAGTTTTAAATGGGGGCCAGCTGGGCGTCCAGACACATCCATTCTCTCTGGTTAGGTGAGCTGGGTCCCAGTCCCAGTGTTGCTGGACTGGCCAGCCAGCGAGCTATCTGCTTTCAGCCAGGTGTGGTACTTACACAGGACAGGCAGAGCTGCCAATCAGAGAGAAATAGTACTGTTTTGCCTTTTTATTAAAGATCCATGTTGAAGAAATTGGGAGGCAGTATATAACAGCAATTAACAGCACATACTTAGGTTTAAATTCTGGCCATGTGGCCTTGGGCTAATTGCTTAATCTCTCTGAACTTCATCTGTAAAAGGGGATATGAATATGAGCTCACAGGTTGTCACAAGATAAAACATGACAGCGTTTACTCAGCACAGTGCCTGGAACATGGTAAGAACCAGTGATGATTATTATTATCCCTAATAAACTCGAGGGTAGGGTCTGACTGCTTCCTGGAAGTTTTCATGTGAGGCCACTATCAGTACTACTTGATTTCATTTTTCTTTCCTCTTTCTTCCTTCTTTCTTTTCTTTTCCTTTCTTTCTTTCCTCCCTCCCTCCCTCCCTCCCTCCCTCCCTCCCTCCCTCCCTCCCTCCCTCCCTCCTTCCCTCCACTCCCTCCCTCCTTCCCTCCCTCCCTACCTTCTCTCTTT